AGCAGGAGAACTGTGTGAGAAACTGACTGTGGAGAGATTCCTGTTACAAACCTTATCTCTGAGCAGCGACCCTTGTCTTAATCTTGCACTGGGAACCAACTGTTGCCTGAAAATTAGGCTTTGACCCCTTGTGATGGCTGATACTAGAAGAGTTTTATTTTCTGGTGGAAAAGGAACATTCAAGCTCTCACAGAAGTCTTGCCTTTCTTCTTCCCTTCCTTAAAATGAAGCCAATTAAGTCATTTGCAGTGGCCTATGTGAGTGGTGCTTGCTTTTTTTCAGAGCATGGGGCTTTCCTTTAAAGGGCTTTGCCTGCTGCGTATTCAAGCAGAGGAATTTAGCAGCGTGAGGGAAGTTGTATGTCTCATGTCTCCAAACCACAAGCTCCCATTCACCCTTCCTGCTTAACAGAGCCTGAACATCCTAGTCTGCTGTGCCAAGTTAAAGGGTCATGAACACCATCAAGTTTTAAGGGTCGGTTTTTTTTTTTTAAATACACACCTGCTTCCTTTTTCAGTAGCTGACTGCAGCAAGTGAGGTTTGTGGCGAGGTCTGTCTGCTTGGAGCATGATGTCAGCGGAGCATGTTGACTCCTGCCAGGGCCGTGGCAAGCATCGGCCAAGTTACTCTGGGGCTGTGTCTCTGCAGCATCACCAGAGATTTCAGCCAGGCCTGCTGCGAATCAGCAGCAGCAGAGTGCAGAAGATGCTGTGCATATATATACTAGCATGGCAAACTGCTATGATTTTTACCACAAAGATGCTGATCTCATTTTTCCAACAGGATTGGGAGAAGTTCTGAGTAGAGCCCAATCTTCGAAGGCAGCGCTGTCTGAGCTGTTCAGGTTTTTTTAACTCGCTCGCCAGTGAAAACAATATATTTGCTTTCCTTGGCAACAGTCTCATGCAGAACGCTTATTAATTCACTTACCAAAGAAAACAGGACATACTGAGTCCAAGTGGTTCATTTAAGTCCTGATCCAGGGTCCTCTGAAGATGTTTCTCACTGGTTTTGCACACAGCCCTTTGAATGAAGAAATATAGTCATACATGTGAATAGACTTACTTCAGGCTCAAAAAAAAAAAGCTTTAAAACCTTTGCTGTAGAAATTGGACTGCAATTATTCAAATAATTTTCCACCTTTCTTAAAATTAGGTAGTTTGATGTTGCCTCTCCTACCTTCAATATTTCTCTTCCCATTTTATTGGTGCGGTTAAATAACTAGATCTTTGCAAAAGATCTTGCAAGAGAAATTAATTTTCAGTTTGTCTCGAGAAGTGTATGACTAGCTACATATTTTAAGATTACTGCTTACACATTTTTTTACCCCATTTGAAATGGACTTTTTGTTTACTTCTGTAATCCTTTTGCCGGCTGATACTTGGTGAAATGCTGCATCGTCTTGTGGAAGTATTTTCCCTTACTTGGAATGCAAGTTCAAGATACTTTTACGTGCCTTTGGAAAATAAAAAGGCATTCCACAACCTCCCATGCATTCCCCGAAGTCCTGAATCCCAAGACTGACTTCATTGTCTAAGCTGACCTTTGCCCATGAAAGAGCTACAGCCTTATTATTATTTCATTACCATTATCCTTCTAAATTAATTTAAACTGAGGCAAGAGTGATGACAAAATCACATTTCATCAAAAGGTGCAGCAGCATGTCAGTGGTGATGTCTCGGCGGCTGAGCCAGCTTTGTTTTGGGTGTGACCATGGCAACTTTAGGGGAAGGAAGTGACGGAGTCTTCTTAGTATATTTACTCAATTATTTCACTTGCCCTTCTCACCCAGATCCTGAGGGCGATCGCTCAGTGTCATTTTCCCATCAAGAGCTTTTCCTCACCGCAGTGGGAAAGATTAAAATAATACGTCTGCCTCTCCTTCCTGCTTAACTTTTCTTGAGAAAAGTGATCACAGCAAGAGAGAGCAAGTTACTGGGTGACTAAGGTAATTTTAATGCTTATGAGACGGACCAGAGACCGGCATAACTTTCAGACTCTGCCATGCTCTCTGGTGACCATGGGCCAGGCATTAAGCTCCGGACCCATGCGCTGGTGTGCGTGGCTGTATTGCCTCTTGGTAAAATGAACGATAAAACTCCTTATCCCTCAGACTGCGCTGTGTCTTGTGAGACGTGGGCTCTGTGGGAGAAGGTTTGTCTTTTTGTTTTTCCCCTGTATTTATAGATCACTGAGGTCAATGGGCCCTAGGTCTCTGTTTGGGTTGAGTGAGCTCATGTAGGGAATGAGCTGAGAGAGACTAGCTTTGAGGGCGGACAACAACCAGGACTGCCTCCAAAAAAGCTTGTCCAGCTCCCTGAAGGCCACATACCCCATCTGCAGCGAGGCACAAGTATTAATGTCACCCCTCAAGAATGTCAGTGAAAACTCTTGGTGTGGGGTGGATAGGTCAGCTCTTCTTAACCACAGAAGATACAGGCTGTCAAATGTGAGGATGTTTTAGTTTTTTTAAAATAAGAAATAACCTCCAGACATGCAGCCAGAGGAGGGCTGGAGGTGAATCACGGTATTTGTGGATGACAATGACAGACAGCCACTTCTGTCTTCCTAAGATTTCTTGAGAGTGCCTGCCCTGTCCTCCTCGTCCTCACAGAGTGATGTCATTGTTTCCATCTTGTGTATTTTAGCTCTTTGGATACGGAGAAGGCAGGGGCTATAGAAACTGGGTGTGTGGCTGGCTTGGCCTTTGATAAGGCCATGCGTGTGTGGGCAATGCATGAAGCAATAGGTATTTAAAGCAACAACATCGCGTTTCAGATGAGGGAACCGCGCTGGCGTATCGCGACCTGCTGTTTTTGGTTAAAAGGCGTTACCGCATGGATGTGGAATGTGTCAGGGACGCGGAGGGAGAGGATGTGGGAAGGCAGCCTTGTTGTTTTACCCCCCTACAATAACAAAACCCCAAACCCTTCCTAATTTCTAATCGGATTTCAAAGCATTGCAAAAGATCTTTCCATAGCTGAAAAACCCCAAACAATAACAGAGGGAGAGGTGAAAGT